GCCGGCATTATTATAAATTAATCGCGTATCGACGAAACGAGCCAGTCGATTAACGTCATTGAGGAAAAAAACAATTTTAAATTGTATATCTTATTTACTATTAAACATCGTTGAAACATGCGATCCGATGGACGTGAAAAAAATGTTAGCTCCGAGAGGCGACGACTCGTTGAGGAATTGCACGCTCCCGCGAGAAGAAATTTTCCGCGAAGACGTGTCATAATTCGGGGATACGACAATCTGTGGCAGGCTGACATCGTCGAGATGCGTCCGTATTCGAGTTTCAACAGAGGTCATCACTACATACTTACCGTCATCGATGCGTTGAGCAAGTACGCCTGGGCCGTACCGCTCAAGAGCAAGGTCGGAAGTGAGACGGCTAACGCTATCGCTAAGATAATTCGAGAGAGCGGAAGATGCCCGAGAAACTTGCAAACGGATATGGGAAAGGAATTTTACAATGCCGATGTGCAAAAACTCCTGAAAAAACACAACGTTAATCATTATTCCACGGTGTTGAAGGCATCGTCGAGCGATTCAATCGCACGCTTAAGAACGACATGTGGAAGATGTTTACGGTCAACGGCACTTACAAGTGGGTCGACGCGCTACCGCGTCTCGTGTCAGATTACAACGTGCGCAAGCATCGTACTATCGGCATGCGACCCGTTGACGTAACTCCCGCGATCGCCAAAAAACTCTTGGATACGGTATACAGCGTGATAAAGATCGCAGGTCCAGCAAAATTCAAAGTAGGTGAATCGGTACGCGTGAGCAAGTACAAGACAATTTTCGAAAAAAGTTATACGCCAAATTGGACTATCGAGGTGTTTAAAATCGTTAAAGTGCAACGTACTAATCCCGTAACTTATCTATTCGAGGACTATCACGTAAAATCGGTCGCGGGCGCGTTCTACGAGCACGAATTGCATCGCGCGACTCATCCGGATGTGTATCTCGTGGAGAAAGTACTACGCAGGAAGGGAGACAAGGTTTACGTCAAGTGGTTGGGATTCGATAGATCGCATAACTCATGGATAAACAAAAGCAGTGTGATTTAATTCATCTTTCTTATTTTTATAATGTATTAAAAAATTAAATATACACTGTATACATG